TGTTCCGACGCGGGCCCTCCCTTCTCGTCTTCTGGCCTTTTTAACACCGTATCCATCCCACACGCCGATAAGGGGATCAACTGCGCGTTCTATTCTGTGAGTTGTGGCTGTTGCATGATCATCTCATAAGCCTGTGCAGCTAAGATGAAATGATGCTATGAAATCAGCACTCCATCGCATCTTGAGGCAGTGGGGTATTGTTTTCAGATCGCTATAAATGAAATCTGCCACAGCCCTGGGGACCTCATCCTCGTCGCTTCTTCCCCCAACCCACCAAATGACGAGCATGGAATATGTCGTCAACGCCAATTTGTTTGATTACTACTGGGATCGGATGATATTTGAGTGCTGCGAAACATGTGTATGTGTCTTTAAATACGTTTTATACCCGTCTAATGAATCCCTAGATGACACTTGTGGTCTACGGTTTGTGCTTCCCGCTGCGCCCGTCCAGGGTCTAACTTGGAGCGGAAGGAATTTATCTCAATTTATTCATTCTTTCGCTCTACACCCTCGCTCGGCGTAAAACAAGAGGTAGAAATGTCCTGTTGGTCGCCAGCTGCGCTATGGTTCTCTTAGGAACAGTGCAGGCTGTGGTACGCTTCAGTATCGCCGCCGAAGTTGTTCAGTTATCGCGCCAACTTGTGCACGAGGGGCACAAATTCCCGCCAAGCCCCGAATGGGTTGGAGCGTATCCTGCCCTGATTAGGATGCAAAATGTCGTCTTTTCCTTCAATAAGTTTGTCACCCAGCTTTTTTCGCGTCCCACAATTAATCGCCCGCCAGTTTAGTAACGGATGCCCTTTTTGTTGAGCATTTCCTCTAAAGAGAAAATGCAAGGAAATTAACGGTTCTAGTTGTATCGCTGCTACGTGATATGGGGATCTCAATTGAAGATTATCATTCTGCCAGGCGTATTTACCCTATCCACTTTCGGTAAGCTGTTTCTCCCAAATGAAACCGCATACTGATTGGAGTTCTGTTAAGCCACAGCATGTATGAGCACTTTCAGTATCAAGAGCGAGTCACGAACGCCCTACATCATCGCTCTCGTGACGAACCTCGTGTTGATGGCTCTCACTGGTCGGGGAACTACCTGTTTCGTGGACACTATTCGCTGACGGAATCGCCCAGCCGGCCGCATCTGGTGGATCCGACGCGAGGCATTCCATGCTGGTCTCGACGATACAATCAGGAGTCGATACCGCACGGCCATTGCGATCATGTATGGAATATGAGATACTCATATGGAACACGACTCACGAATATTTTATCCAGACTAGAATCTGGCGCGTTATATTCCGTTTGCGCCATATTATTGGCAGTCACCTGGTCAATCGAAAGCCCGATGGCCTATGACATCACATTTGGCTTCTCACTACAAGCCCTCGTCAGCCCAATTTCCTCGCTGCCTCCGCGCCTATTCAACTCTTCTCTAGAACATAGTGCCGACGTTGACAATCGTGCGCATTGGCCTGGGTCACACCATAGACGACCCGATTAATCTTGTGGACAGCCGCGCTGCGGAGCCTGCCAGTGGGGTGGAGCTCCATTATATTGTTTGAAAACTTAACTACTACGCCTCGACTCAACCGGTGTCCGCTTCAGGAACAGGATAAATTATAGGCCTTCAAAAATCGACCCTGTCTGTATATTTATGGCGTCCATGGCATCCACCAAAAAGTCTAACATACGATCGACTACTAGTCGATCGTATGCTAGACTTTTCCTAGAAGTGCATGCAAGAGATAGAGGAGAGCTAGGAGTTACAATAAAAGGGGGGAGTAATCCCAGGAGCCCTGCAACAACGGAGCAGCTTTCTTCACTACGTCCTATCCGTAGTATGGGAGAGCTCCAAGATTGAGTCCCACCCATATATTCTCCGGGTCCGCACATTGTGTCGATGCAACTGCTCCTCAAATACACTGCATTCCCTGACCACCTACACTTAGTTTGATGGATCTGTGTATATCCAGCCTAGGTAAGCATAGGTGCCGACATAGACCCTGTGTAGCTCAACTAGATAGAGTTACACTGATCTATAAGCAAATTAAGTGTAGGTGGTCAGGGAATGCAGTGATACTTGGATGGACTTTGATTTCCAAGCCAAGCAGAACAACCCATCAGTTGGCATCAGTCCGCCGAGCTGCGGCGAACAACATCCGAACGCCCGCATCAAACCTCTGGTTCGCCGGCTGTGCGTGCCGAGGTTCGGAACAACTCTCGGCCGATCCAAGCGAAGATTTAAAACTAACTAGCATGTGTTCCGTACACCACGATACGTCCCTGTGCCTGTATAAATGCTCTAAAGATTAGACCGTTTCTGAGGTAAATTAATTTCAAAAACAACCAATTGTGTAATGAAGTGCACCGCGGGGAGTCGAACCCCGTCTCGCTGGATATGATTTTGCAAGACACAAGGTTACCAGCGTGTGTTTCGTACACCACGGTGCGTCCCCAGGCATGTTTGAAAGCTTTGTGTGTGAGATAGATTCTTGCGCGGCCCACGAAATGAAAAAAGCATTTCGAAACGAAGTGCACCGCGGGGAGTCGAACCCCGTCTCGCTGGATAAGTGTGGCCTTGGCTCCCTTTCTTATTTTACCAGCGTGTGTTCCGTACACCACGGTGCGTTCCTATGCATGCTTTCATGGGATGTAAGTTAGCTGGATCCTTGCGCGAACCCACGAAATAAAAGAAAAGTATTTCGAAGCAAAGTGCACCGCGGCGAGTCGAATCCCTACTCTTTGGATAAGTGTGGCCTCGATTGCCCTGAATTTTCCCAGGGTATGTTCCGTACACCACGGTGTATTCCTATACGTCCTTTCATGTGCTGTAAGTGAGATGGATCCTTGCGCGAACCAAGGAAATAAAAAGCAATGGACCCGACAGAGCAGTGCACCGCGGGGAGTCGAACCCCGGCTCGCTGAATAAACGTGACGATAAAGCATTCAGGGATCCTGCGCGTGTTCCATACACCACGGTGCGTTCCTATCGCTGTATCGTTGGTGTTGAGGTGCACTCGCTTCTGTGGAAGGAATGTTTTATTGAGGCAGACCGCGGCGGACGCTGCTTCGAAAGTGGGCCCCGGGTCACGGTATCGATATCTGGCATAGTTGGACACAGTGGTTTCACACCGGACGTTGGATCCTACGGGAGGATGAATTCTATCTTGGACGGCCAAAACAATAAGCCCCCGACAATACGCAGTGCACCGAGGGGAGTTGAACCCCTGTCTCACGGAAGCTCACACAAGTGATTCAGCGGTGCTCCATCCACCACGGCGCGTTCTTATCCCTGTTGAAAATCTGGTTTTGTGGTAGTCCTTCTGAGGCGAAGCTAATCGAACCATATTCATTGCGCCACATCGGGTGGCGGGCGGCCTATTGGCATAATCAGGCTGATTGCGGAGATAACCAAATCCGATAGCGCTTGGTTGAAAATAGTCCAGACGAGTCTTCGGTCTCGATGCTCCGTGTTGAAATTCTCTTACTACGTGGCCACTGATTTGGGAATATCATTCCCTTGAAATTACGCGCTCTTGCACGCGTCGCTGAGTGAGCGACAAGCTCTGACAAGGTCCGCATCACGCACTCTGATGCAATTCCCAATCAGGCGTGATTTCGTCCGTTTCGGGCAGTGTATTCCCATCCGTTCCCACCTTGGGGGCGTATAAAGAGGCTCGCTGCCAAACGCCTCTTGCTTCCATACCACCACCATCTCCCCCTCACAACAACCCACCATGTCCTCCCCCAAGATCGCCATCGTCATCTACTCCATGTACGGCCACATCGCCAAGCGTGCGTCGCCCGTTCTCCTCCCTCCATCGCCGTCCATCGCGCTCATCTATCTCCCTGTTTGCAGTCGCCGAGTCCGTCAAGGCCGGCATCGAGGGCGCGGGAGGGAAAGCCACGATCTACCAGTGCGTTTCCTACTCGGCGCGAAGCGCGCGATGGCTGATTTGGGTTTAGGATCCCCGAGACGCTCCCGCAGGAGGTGCTGACCAAGATGTACGCGCCCGCCAAGCCCGATTACCCTATCATCGACGCCGCGACGCTCGCCACCTTCGACGCCTTCATCATGGGCATCCCCACCCGTTTCGGCAACTTCCCTGGCCAATGGAAGGTGCGTCGCACGCCTCGTCTTCCTGCGATCCCACTGATCCCGTTTTCGTCTTGCGCAGGCCTTCTGGGACACGACGTCGACGCTGTGGTCGACCGGCGCGCTCGCGGGCAAGTACGCCGGCGCGTTCGTGTCGACCGCGGGCCCCGGTGGAGGACAGGAGGTCACCATCCAGAACATCATCAGCACGCTCACCCACCACGGCGTGCTCTTCGTCCCCCTCGGCTACGCGCACGCCTTTGGCCAGCTCACCGGCCTCACTGAGGTCCACGGCGGTGCGTCTCTTCTCCTTGTGTTTCGTTCCCTGCACGCCTTCCCTCCCCTATCCCTGCGCGCCGCGTGTCCCGCCCGCGCTCACCAGCGCCCACGCCATCGATGCGTCGACGCGTCATGATTTGCGCACCCTTCTGCCCACGCGGATTACGTCCGCGCGCCCACACCGTCCTCGCGCACGCATTCGGCCCCCATTCTTCCGCCTCCTCCCCCTCCTTTCCGTGCTCGGCTCCTCGTCACAGCTTGCCTTCGCCCCTCGTTCCAACAACTCACTCTTTTCGCAGGCTCCCCCTGGGGCGCCGGCACCTTCGCCGCCGCGGACGGCTCGCGCCAGCCGACGCCGCTCGAGCTCGAGATTGCCACCATTCAGGGCAAGGCGTTCTACGAGACCGTGAAGAAGGTTACTTTCTGAGCGCGTATGTACCGAATACGAAAAATTGTGTAGAGTAGCAGAGGATCGGAGACCGAGACGAGAGGGAATGTAAATTGCGATACCATTCCGTGGGGCTTGAATGCCAGCGGGGATTAAAATGTTTTTAAAAATAGAGCGCTTATTCTGTTTGTTCGGAGTGAGTGCACTTATCTGGTGGAAGGAGAGAGGAAAGCAGCGGACGTGGTGTATGGCGCACCATTGCGTTGCTTGAGAGGGGACTTCATTTAAGCAGTGAGACGGGGTTCGATTCCCCGCGTCCGCATGCCGTTTCCCCCTATGGTTTTTGTTGGAGACGGACAGAATGGCTAGCAAGGGCCCTGGACACCAGCAAACCCGCGATATCGCTACGCAAAGGGAATGCAATGCAATGGTGGAGGACAAGTGATACTGACTAAGCACGGCCCGAAACCCGAATACGCGTCGCGCCTGATCCCAGCCTGATCCTACCACTACATTGTCTTTCGATAGAAGGGGTGTTAAACTTACATCTACTCAGCGCAGAAGGAGGGGTAGTAAGCGGACGTGGTGTATGGCGCACCACTGCATTGTGTAGGTATGGAAAGAAAGTTGCAAGCAGTTAGACGGGGTTCGACTCCCCGGCGTCCCGCGTCCGCCTTCGGCTCATGGTGCAATGTTTGTTTTTTGTATAGAAAGAGCTGACAAAAATTGGACATATTTAGTGTAGAAGGAGAGGATATGAGCGGACGTGGTGTATGGCGCACTACTGCATGCAATATTGGAAAGGAGGAAGCTGCCGAAGCAGTCAGACGGGGATCGATTCTCCGCGTCCGCCTGCGGGTATCGTCGTAGTCTTTTTCCGCGGGATCTGAGGAAGCGGCGGCGGCTGTGACTGAATATATGCAACGCAGGAAGGGAGGAGATGAGCGGACGTGGTGTATGGCGCACCGGTGCATTGGTTATTTATTCATGCAAAACGTGAAGCAGCAAGACGGGGTTCGACTCCCCGCGTCCACATGCGGCTTCCTCCGATGTCTTTTTTCGATAGAAGAACTGAAAAAAAACCTGAATGTATTCAGTGTAGGAAGAGAGGATAGGAGCGGACGTGGTGTATGGTGAACCACTGTATCGAATAAATGAAGCCCTGGTGTAAGCAGTGAGACGGGGTTCGACTCCCCGGCTTCTGCCATTGTTTTATTATTAGTGGTTTTGATAGAAGAGGAGCTGACAAAAACCTCAATATATTCAGCGCAGGCAGGGAGGGGATAAGCGGACGTGATGTATGGCACACTACTGCATTGTGTAGAATAAAACGTAAGTTGCAAACAGTAAGGCAAGGTTCGACTCCTTGCACCCGCATGTGCTTTCTCTGATGGTTTTTGTCTTTTTTGATTGAAGAGCTGACAAAAACCTCAATGTATTGAGTGCCGAAAGGGAGGGGATATGCGGACGTGGTGTACGGCGCACCACTGCTCTAGGTACGAAACGTACAGAACAGTAGCAAGCAGTGGGACGGGGTTCGACTCCCCACGTCCGCTTGATCAAAGCCTTCTGGGGTTTTTATTGAAGAGCTGACAAAACCCGAATTTATTAGGCAGGGAGGTAATAGGGGCAGTCAGAGTAGATGGTTTGGGGCGGTTTTCGGTCGGTTCTGTTAGTCGGTTCTGAAGTCGGTTCTGAATTAATTTATCATGCGAAAACTAAATAAAACTCAGAACCGTCTCGACTTACTTACAGAACCGCGGTTCTGGAGACGGTTTTGGTTCTCGGTTTTGTTACATCACACAGAGGTCTAAAAAGTCAGTTAAAACCGGCGTAAAACCGCCTCTGGAGCCGGTTCTGCAAGGCGGTTCTGGGCGGTTCCGGTTCTCAAATCATTAAATGGGGCAAAACCGCATCCAGAACCGCTTTTCAAAAGGGTCGGTCAAAACTCAGGTCAGGGGGGGGGGATTTAGGTCAGTTATCACACGGTTCTGATGCTGATCAATTTTGAAAACCTGCTCAGAACTGACCCTCAGAACCGACCCAAAACCGACTAATTATTTATAGTCTGACTGCCCCTAATATGCGGACGTGGTGGACGGCGCACCCCTGCATTGTGTAACATGCGAAGAGTATTGGAAGCAATCAGACGGGGCTCGACTACTCGCGTCCGCCTGTAGCCCATGCACGTCCAATAATACTCTGCAGAAGGAAAAAATGGGCGCGGCCGTGAAGAATGAGAACTTAGTCGGTAGCATCGCGGGTATGGACAGAACTGAGAATATGCAGCGTGCAATTTCGTGGCCCCATTAAACTGTGTGGCCATGTCACCCCTCAAGTATCCACGGAGGCGAAGTGATCCATGAAGGGCGGATACTGGAAAGGAACAGTATGTATGCGAATTTAGTTTAGGCTTCGATAGGAATTAACCGTGGCAGAAAAGTAAATATCGGATCCAAACTAGAGACACAAGGCTGTGGTTGCCCTTGCCCGATCCTTACGGGCACGCCTAAATAGGCCCAAGGAGCTCTTATATTCCTCGCTAGAATAACCACCTGCGTGTAGACTGTGCGCTGTTGTGATTAACCTATACCTTGAACACTTGAGTACCCAGGTGGTGCGTCGTCTGGCGATGCCCTGGTCAGTAGCGCGGCCATCTGCGCCTCGAACTGACGGAGGCGCTCGATCAATGCCTCGTTCGTGGGTCCGTCGACCTCTGCCGCGATCATGGTATCGGGTGGCATCGCCGCTGCGCCAGAAGGCTCATGGCCAGTGGTTGAATCCGGATGGGAGGTATCTTCGTTGGAGGGCTCCCCGTCTTTTCCGGAATCCTGCGGTGGCTGTATTTCGCCAACGGGGTGGTTCTGAGGAGGCTGCATAGCGCGAGATAAATCATGAGCAGTCGGATCCGCCTGCGAGGTATTCCCATTAGCGGGCTGCCCTTCTTTCTCGGTATCCAGCGGTGTATACATTTCGTCAACAGTGTCGAGGCAGCATGAGACTTTGGTTGATTAGCCGACGCCGTCGTCTGAGCCATAAGAAGAGGAGCGAGGCAAAGACGAGGACACTGGCGGCCACAACGGCGCCTGCGATCGCCCCAGGGGGGACATGCCTGTTGTGGCGGACGGAGTGAGATCTGCAATGATGGCAGGTTAAATTTAAACAGACCTGCTTGACGTTGAGAGGGTACTTTGATTAACGGATGCGCTTGGGCTTGGAGAAAGGGGCAGACTTGATGTGCTGATGCCATTGACCGTGGAGGTACCTCCGACCAGTGATATTACGCTGCTAGGGGATGTGGATGAGTGTGTGTTGCTGAGCAGGCTGCTGCCGGCACCGGAGGGGGATCCACTGGTGGTGCCACTGGTGAGAGAGGAGGTCGTTGATGGAGCTGTTATTGATGGTTCCCCGGGATTACTGCTCTGAGGTGGGGGTGCCGCTGTCACTGTATTTCTGGTGGAAGTGGGGGACACCGAAGTGTTGCGGGTATTCGTGGTTGCCGTAGCACTCGTGGAGATGGTATTTGTGGTGGCAGATGTCGCACTGCAGTTTTCATCAGCGCTGAGCAATGGTTCGACGAGGCAGCTCACGACGAGGCTTGCACCAGCTGATCGGGGCACGTCGAGGAGGAGGTTGCGGGGAAGAGCGAACCCTGGCCATATGTGTTCAGCGTGCCGGGTGTTATAGAGCACAAAGCTACGCACGTCAGAAAAATAGGAGCACACACCCGCGCCGGGGTAAATACACTCCACGGGAGGACCGTCAGCAAATACCTCACCCTTGGTGAGCGCGGTCCCGTCCTTGTCCACCGGGGGGCAATCAAAATTTTCGAAGAGAGCAGCATTTACAAAAGATGCGAGGAGCGCGGGGCTGAAGGAGAAGGCGCGGAGAGTGATCCATCCGAGTCGCATTCTGCTTCGAATACCGGGTTGACAGTGGCCTGCTGAACTACGCGGTGGTGAATGAAGAGAGTGGCCAGGGCCCAGAATAGAGGGAGCAGATACAACGATATATGTATCTATTCACGCCTGCTGGTTGATAGACTGTGCCAGTGGCTGCGAGGACTGACAGTGATTCTCAGCGCGATTTCCCAGGCGCGGACGGTATCATGACGACCGTGATAGGGAAGATTTGACGATCTTTTCTTATGCGCGTGGGAGACCTTAATCTTGATTCACTGCAGTATGGAAAATCAAGAGCATCCAAAGATCATCCACTGCGGTGGCCCATCCATTTTTGGCGGCGCAAGTGCGGGTCCAAACATGTCTGGTGTTTTGCTCCGTTTTTAGCGCGGAACTAAAAAGCCCGGATTTTCGCCAGACTCGTTTGTCTGGCCAATGCGGACCAAATATTTTCACTCTTTCTATGAGAAAGGTGATCCAAAAACAGTCTCTTTTTGGACAGATTTTTCCGTCCCCTACAGAAATCATTTTGAGTTCGGTAAACACTGCTTGAACAAAGGATTCCTTTGTTCAACCTCTATTTTGATGGTCAAAAATGATGTCTTTGTGGGTCACAAAATGAGCCCTAAACATGGTCAATTTTCACTTCATGTGTTGCAATGAAAAAGGAATGATTTTCAGTCAATGTTGGGAAAGAGAAAACCAGGAGCAAAAATCGGTTCTTTTCAGTTTCGCATCAAAAACAGAGGGAAACGGCAGACATGTTTGGACCCCACTTTGGGTTCCAAAAATGTATCGGCCACCGCAGTGATCCAAGGCCCGACTCTTGGTCCATAGCTACGTCGCGGTGCGAGACGCTTCCCGCTGATATAGATAGTCGCAAGATTCTCCAGGAATTGAAAGGCCGTTCCAGATTCTAGAATGCCAATGTCAAGCTAAGGTACGGGAAAGATTGGGGAAAGCAACATCAGCAAAACCTGGGTCGGCTACACAGCACTACATAGTGGCTCATAGTAGCCTATAGCTTGTATAGTGCCCATAGCGGCTGTAGCAAAGGTCTTTAGCTATGTAGCGCTGTATAGTTGGGTCGGAAGTATATAGCAGTCTGTAGTTGGCCTCTAGCGTTCTGTAGCACAAGGTCCATGGTATCATAAGGAAAGTTAGTTGCCTTCAAACATTGAAGGTCAGTAAGTAACGAATTGTAAGGTTAGTAATCAAGTGAAGCTATGTAGCACTATATAGTTCCCCCAAATATATAGAGCACTATGGAGCACTACAGCCATGTTGAGGCTGCTATATTCTACTACAGCTACTACAGCCTGCTAGGGTGAAAATCAGGGTTTGCTGATGAAGGGAAAGTCTGATTGAAGAGGTCTCCGATGACAGCACATGATGGCCGTCTCGGCATAGACACCTGGAT